TCAAAGAATACTGATTGTGGTTTGCATTTGCATACTCTAGCAATACAGTCTGATCGATTAATTGGTGTGCCGATGATTGGCCAATATCACATATACTGTGCATCACTATACACCAGCGCTGCACGATATGGTAAAACAATATTTTTTTTAATTAGTTTCTTACATCTGCAGAACAAGGTTTTTAGGCTGAGGCATATCTTCAGCACTAGTACTTTTTTATTATTCTGTTTTGTCACACGTTTTACTTTTATCTTCTGGGACTTGGATATTGCACTTGGCCATATTGAGATTTTGGTGATATTTTGATTAATTGTGGAGCCCTAGTTCATGTGAGTATACATGTTTGTTAAGCATCACAACACGCTTTTGTCTATTTTTTATAAGTATGTCAACTAGAGGGCACTGACAAGTTATTTTTCCAACTTTCAATCTTAGTCATGCTTCAAGATATTTTCGTAGCACCAATCAGTTTCAGCAATTCAACATCAGATTTAACTGTGTCTTTGAGTTTGCGGAAGCTAAACTTTTAGTTTGCTCTGCCATTTTTAATAAGCAAACAATACTATATTGTGTGAGAGATGTGAGAATAAACTAGTGTTGGTTGCCAAGGTTATGATTATTTCATCCATTCACCAGATTTTATCTTCGTGGACAGCTTTAAAAGTTAAAGACCAATATCAAGCACGACCAAACTAAGCAAGCAGGGTGCTCCCTAACTGTATGATCTTGCATGTATAAATACATTCTACAAATATAGTGATGCTTCTACAACAACAGCAACTACTACTGATGATACTAGTATTACTATTATTAGTAGATTTGCAGATTTGTTTAGATTAATCTCATTTATTCAGGTAGTACAAGATCAGATAAAAATGAAATATCCGAACATTTTGTCTGCCAACTGCAGTTGACTTTTTTGCCACGGCTTTGTTAATGTCACATATTTCGAAAGTGGCATGTCGTTTTGCAACAGAGACTTTACTTTGTTTTGGTAACAGCTGAACCCCATTTGCCCTATTGCCCTGTAAAGTGAGGAACAGTAATTCTCTAACAGAGAAGTAACTCTCCAGGTAACATTCTTTATTTCTGCATGTTGCAACATAAAAGGTGTACTTGACTGGCATGACGTAGGTGGACATGAATGCTTTTCAGGTGAAAGCATGTGTACATTTGGACCAGGGTTACTTTCTGATGAATGCTGCTCTGTGTTCACTGATAAAGACATCAGCCGTTTACGCAGCATGCTACCTTGCCTGGCCATTCATTAGAAACTCTTAACCAATGATTAACAGTACCTTCCACTCAGTGTTTTCAATTACTTGAAGTGAAAAATTATCTATAATGATACAATAATTTGTTTTTAGAAGTCAAGGTAATTTGAGTTCTGCGAGTATAATTATTCTACCTTTCTGTTATTCTAAACAGTATTTAGTGTATATTTATGTGTAGTGTGCGTGCCTGTCTGAGATGAGTGTGTGCTGTTTGATTTGTTGCTGTGATCCACATCACTGAATGATAATTAAAGTTTTATACATCTTTCTACGTGATTCAGCATGGAATCATTTTTATTTTTGGAAACAATATCAGGTACAAGTTAATTAGTGAATCTAAAACAACTGCTGAGCAGAATTTATTCCTCCTTGGTGCTGTGCCTGGCTTCTAAATAGCTTTTGGTAACAAACCATGAGAACACCATTTTGGTGTCTTACTCTGAACACCCACTATTTTATATAAAATAATTGGTGATAATTATGTAAATGAAAAGAATACTTTCACAGTAAGTGTGTGTGTGTGTGTGTGTGTGTGTGTGTGTGATGCCTACCTTCCCCAGCAGCCGTAACATGAGGTGATAAAACACACAACAAAATCTTAAGAAGTTTGTTTCATAGACGAGGACTGGTGTCACATCAGGGCACTTCCCATGCCATTCCACACTCCATCATGCTCCATGTGTCCATCTATTTTGCTAATTTACACATGATGATTCGTGTTGTGTACTGTAAGACAAGTGTTTCATCTTTTTTATTCTCAAAGTAAATGTAAAAAGTAAACTTTACTTTATGTTTGAGATTGTAGTAGATTGCAGCAGGTCTTCCTTAAGGATTTTAATGCATCCCTCTACAATTCCTCCAAGGTCTACTGCAGACCACCACAGCAGGATGCTGGGAAAGTGTGTTTCTGCTCATGTGTTTCATTACATTTTTGGTCTCGGCAGACATAGAAGCTTCATACCTTCATGTGATTTTTCTTTTTTTCTGACTTTCTCTTTGCTACTCAGCCATCTACCTGTGACTGGGCAACAGTGTGTGTGCACAGTGTCTTCATCCGAGCTGAGGATCAGTCGCTCCCTCAGAGTTAACATAGTTCTTAGGTCATAGGTCAGTTTATAACACCAAATCCTGCTGTATAGCACTGTGTCCCCCCCCCCCCAATCTCTTTTTCTCGTGAAATAGTCATATAAGAGGTGATTGTATGCAGTAGATTTTACAGGCTTTGTTCATTTCACTCAGTCATGCATTCATTCGTTCATTCATTGTCAATGTATGTCTCCTCAACGTCCAAACTAAAATTTGCAGCAAACTAAAACTTTAATATTTTCAGTTGGTCTGCGCTAAGTAATGCAAACACAAAGTACATCTGTAATACTAATGCACCAAAAAGGTTTCTTCACCCTCTGACAAACCCTACCCTGTTCCTGGTGAAATGTGATGCCTGAATGATTTGATTTGGCCGGCTCTCAGGAAGCCACTTCCTCACAGTAACTTAACTGAAGCCCAGGTTAGATGCAGTTCAGTGCAGCAAATACACACCTTATTTTTTAATCTATAGTTTGTTTATTTCAAATGAATATGATTTTGCACTGTTGTCAAGTTCTCAGCTGTTGTTGTCTTTGTCTCTAGTTTCGTTCAAAAAGACTTTTAGATACTTAACCTGCAGTGTTATGATGCTGTGTGTCTCAAGCACTGGCTGCTGGAGTAATCTGTTTAATGTACGCAGGCCCTCGTCTTTGTTAGACATCCACAAACAAAGATGTTTGTCTTGTAAGGCTCCTAGCGGGCTGATTAAACACTAAATGGTTTACACTGAGAGGTGATGTCATGGCTGGAGGCTCCCATTTGCTGACGGTTCCTTGAGGACTCAAACCTCAGATCTATTGGAAAGCTTTGACCGCCTTTCTCTCCACAAAACAAATCAGTTTTAAACTACAGTCAGTCATTTGGTCTTTACTGACACCCCGCACCCACCCTGCACCTGCATCTGTCAACTAAAGACTGAGTTTGACCCAACTAGCATTACATTCAACCAGCACCTTTTGTAATTGCTCTGTGGGCTCTTGCAGGGTGTTATACTGGGAGCTTTGCTTGCCATGGGTGTGTGAATGTGAATCAAGAGGGAGTTGGAGCCTTGTGACTCTCTCTCCACCCCTTTAGCCCTTTTCAGACATGGAATATGTAACATTTCTGGCTGCTTCTGTCTGTTAAAGTGATGGCATTTTGTCAGTCAGACATAGGTGAATTTTACATTAATGATCCCTATGGCTTCATTCAGACATAACAGCATATTGATAGAATGAGCTGCATCGGCGTGTTATTTGGCACCGGGTGGGTGCACAACAAAGAGCAGAATGAGTGCAGTGCAGTTATGAAAGTTATGTTGGTGAGGAAGAAGTGTTTTCTGTTCTCTCTCAGGCGATATCACTGATGGATTTTCAAATTTATTTAGGTACACTCGCGCCTGCTTCAATTCACCAATACCTTTTCACATTTCATCATTTAATGTTCTCTCATAATATCCGACAGTGCACACGTTAAGTTATATTTGCTCACATGCTGTCTGTAAAGCGTTTTGTATATTTATTCATCAACACAGATGTCAAAAAGAAACATTTGGCATATAGAGAGAGACTGTTTAGAGAAACTGATTACCGCTATTATTATTTTTAATCCTTTCCTCTGGTCACACTGCAAGGGAAGACTAGTTTTTATAGTCTGATTTGATATGCCTCTCTCTCTCTCTCTCTCTCTCTCGCGCTCTCTCTCCTTCTGTCTCTCTTCAAAGGGGCATGGGAAACACATGTTTACATTGCCAAAGCAAGTGGAAAATATGTGTATTTACAGATTAGTAAAAAATAACAAAAAAAAAGAAAAGAAATATCTCAATTAAATTTCAATTCAGTTCAAAGGGACTTTATTGGCAGGGGAAACAGACATCTTACATTGCCAAGTGAAATATATGTATAAAATATATATGTATATACAGATCTCTCCCTGTCTATCTGTCTTCTTGACGCTTAGTGGTGGAGAAAGGTAGCAGGTGATTTGGTAACAAGTCCCAGTGATGCAGTTATGTAGTCAGGACAGCCCCGTGCTAAGAGGCAGTTTTGTCTACTTGCTTCCTTTCAGCTCCACTGCAGCACAGAGCCAGAGAGCGAGAGAGAGAGAGAGCGAGAGAGAGAGAGAGAGCGAGAGAGGGAGGGGAGGGGGAGAGAGATTTGTTGCTTCCCAGCTGACACTCGCTGTGCTGTCTGATGTGTGTGTTTTTATGTTTCTTACAAAAAGCTCTCTTTTGCGATGCTGTGTACTCAGCCATGCATAGGCTACAGAGCTTGCCCAAACTCAGAACACAGCTTGGCTCTAAACAGGGGGGTAAGTGCTACTTTCAGATGGATTCGTTTGTTAAGTGTTTGATGTCTCAATGTGTTTTTTTTTTTCTACACGCTTTTCTCAAATGGTTACATCCCGGAACATGCTTTAGACATCGTTGTCTACTTTTGTAGTGCTTTTCTGAATATTTTGTTACAGCGATAGTAAACAGAGGCTACCTAACTGCTGTATGTGGGTCAAACTGATTAATTTGTCTGATACTTTGCCTCACTTTTAATACTGTTCATTACTTCAAGCAAAAAAACAACACTCTGCTTGTACTCCTTGAAGGTAAAAAGTATCCCCTTCTGCTGAAAGGTTGACATGGTTGTTAATTCAATGCTTCTGTTGCAGGTAATCAAAGTTTATAATGAAGATAACACGAGCAGAGCAGTAGAGGTTCCCAGTGACATCACTGCGCGGGACATCTGCCAGCTGTTTGTCTTGAAGAACCACTGCATTGATGACCACAGCTGGACTCTTTTTGAACATCTCTCCCATCTGGGAATAGGTAAGATTTTGTCAGTGTTAATAATTTTTGCATGTTGTCTTTTAAAGGTAATATTTCAATTTATAAATCAAATTGCGATATTAACATGTAATTTGTGGCCATCTAGCCTGGTTCCACACCTTTGAATCGTTGCGCACATTTCAGATTTCTCCAGGAAAAAAATTCATGTGACATTTGTGAGAGTGTAAGATAAAGCACAGAGGCAGTTCAGTTGAAGTGCTGTTGGTCAAAATATACACTGGCAAATGTAATTTTGACATGTTCAAAGTATACATTGGTATCAATCATGTGATGGTAATGTTAGTACTATGGGCGAGGTGTGCTTGGTTTGAGGAGAGGAGTGGCGGTAGTTAGTGGGGGAGTGAAATGTGTACAGTAGATATGTGTGAGTAGAATAGAGCACTGTCCTCTCATTGTCCAGTCACACATGAGAAATCAGTCAAATATGAGGGGAGCTGGTGTTGGTGCTGATTGTGGCATTAATTATAGATCTTCCTTGCATAGAATATAATTTCTCATGCTCCACTGGCCTTGCATTAGTAGAGAGGTAGTAGACTGTCTACAATAGGGTGTATAGATTTTTATCCAACTGTATCATTTTCAAGCTTTCTTTTATTGTCTGCATGGCGTTTGTTGTGGAATGCAAGAGGTTTCTTTGAGGTCTGCATTTCAAAGCAGCATTACCTGCTGCTGCTTATTTAATCCATTTTAATTTAAAGCACCACCAGCTGTTAATCTGGCAGGTATTCTTGGAAAGCTGTGCACCAATTTTAAATATGGAGGTTGCCATTTATTACAGAAATGACTTGCTTTAACTGTTAAAGAACATTTTCTGTTAGCTGTAGTCATTTATGTAACATATACTGTGACAAGTATTTGTAGTACATTACCTGCGTTTGCAGAATGGTGTATGAATGACATAAAATATAGTTCTTATTAAGCCAACAGTGAAAAACAAAGATATTTGTCAATGATATATTAACACTGATCTGCAAGAAGAAAGTGTGACTGCATAAAAGATTTCTCAGCTGCATTTTCACACTATTGCACACATTGCATAATTCATCCATCTGTTCTGTTCCACTCATCAATGTTTTTTTTTTTTTTAAATCAAAATCTATCCAGTGAAAAGCTTCTATCTAGATATCTGTTATTTGACTTTTTCAGATAATAAAATAGATTTAATGCTAGGTTGACAAAATGCCTTACAGCTTCAGGCTCTTACTCAGCAAGAGTTTAGCATTTGGAGATGCATGGTTTTGGCAATATGTATGATGTTTTTTTTGGCTCTCAGGGTTCATATTTAAAGAGAACATGTAATAATGCTCAATTAAATAATTTCGAAGCAAACATATGCAATTTTTCTGAATTATTTCTTCAACCATGTAAATCACGACAAAGTTGTTGTCTGTTTACTTCTTTGCTCTGATGTTGTTCATAGATCATTATTGAACACTGCTTCACATGGCTGTCTGAACGAAAAAAGGTTTTCCATTAATTCAACAGTCATTTTACGCTCTAGGAAATGATTAATGTTTATGTTGTGCTGCTCTCATCCAGAGGTTACACATTCATATAAGCTTAATAATCAAACTCAAAGTAAAGGAATACAACTCTTGTCAGGAAATCTTTTGCAGACATCACTGCATTGTGGTTATAAGAACATTTGAATGTATGTCTGTAACTTTGTTATAGTGAGAGCAGTGAAAAACTGGTTAACCTCTAATTCATTTTTTTCCTCTCGGTCTCACCAGAGAGAACCATTGAAGACCATGAGTCTGTTATGGAGGTGCTATCAGGCTGGGGAATGGACACAGACAGTCGGCTGTATTTTAGGAAGAATTATGCTAAATATGAATTCTTCAGGAAACCCCTGGTGAGTTCATGATAAACTTGTACTCTATATACGGTGATGGGGTTAATAGACATCATTTTGTATTTAGTAGGCTATATCCTCTCTTTGAACCAGCCCAACTGTCTTCCCACCAGTGTGTGGATTTATGAGTTTAAAGAGTGTGGTAATAACTGATGTTGCCTTTATATTGGTAGGACTTTTTCCCAGATCACATGGTCTCCATATCCAGTGAAACCAATGGGATGGTGGATCACTCACAGCTTATACAGGTATCAAATTCTATCTGTTTACAGTACAGTGTTTGCCCTTGGGTGCTAATTGTGAGGCTCTCAACCTCTATCTAAATGTGTTGTGTTACCTTAAGAATCTACTGCACACACCCCTCTATAGACAAATATTTCTCTACCCAACACAGACCTTTCTCAACTCCAGCACCTGTCCAGAGATACATGGACACCTCCATGCCAAAGAGCAAAGCAGGAAGTCTTGGAAGAAGTTTTATTTTGTGCTGCGGAGGTCTGGGCTTTATTTCTCCAACAAGGGAACTTCCAAGGTCAGTAAAAGAAAAAGTCTCATTTACAGAATTTTGTATGCATTTTAGGAGAATCAAAGCAACGTGAAAAGCAGATTACTACCTACATGGGTTATTTGTTGCACACAACTAAAATAATTCTGTTGCATGCAATGTTGTTTTGTTATGTAACTGCATAACATTGTTTTTTTAAAATTTCCTTTCTTGAATTAAATGGAGTTTATCCTATCCAGGATAAAAATGGATGCACCAATTTTAAAATGATTGCCTTGATCTATGAAGACACATTATAGTCCTCTGTTTGTGCACTATGGGGTCACCAGTTCATCCTCTGTGTATATCTCACCCATGTTGTGAGAGGGCAGTGGAACAGGTTAAGCTTGATTTTCCTCAGGTCAGCTGGCATAGCAGCCAGGCAGAAACTGTACTCTCAATGCTGCTGACAAGTGAAGCTTATACCTAGGCACCAGCCACGCCAACACAACCACAACTCAACTGCTTTCGTTTCCTACAACAGTAGACCTTTTGTTGTCGAGTGCAGGAAGGTTTTGGTATGGCGCCCACTTTTACTCTCGCAGGTTTACCATTCATATGTGGTCTTCAGCACTCAATCAGCACAGACACTAACGGCTGTCGCATTACTTTATATAAGGAAGTGGGAACGGTGTGTGACGTGACAGCAGAACAATGGTAGTCTTTGTGCTTTTTTTTTTTTTTTTCTCCTTGTAAAATTATCTTTGGCACAATGTGGCTGTTCATACAGTCTCAATACAGCCACTATCAATATGTTTAATTTTATTCTTATCTCTTCGGTTAGAAGAGATAAGAATGTCAGATAACGCTGCTGTTTATTGATAAATATGCATTGTTTAAATTTAAGTGTGCTCCATCTTTTGTCCTTTCATTCATTAATTTCTTAAAGTAAATTGCTTTCTTGTGCACATCATAAAATAAAAGGCAAAACTCATACTAACACACTCACAAGACCTTACATGTGCCTCCATCTTTAACATACAAAAGCTTTTCAGACGTTTTTCAAAACTTTGATTCGATTTGATCTTTGTTTTACAGGAACCAAGGCATCTCCAGTTCATTGCGGACTTCAGTGACAGTGATGTCTACACAGTGTTGTCAGCCAAAAAACTCCATGGAGCACCTACAGATTATGGTCTTTGTGTCAAGGTATAACCACTTTCTAGAAATACCAAAACTGTACAAAAGGAGCACAAGAGAGAGTGGTGTATTGATTCCCACCATGTTGAACTCCTTTTGTCTCCATGTTACTTCTTTCTCCAGTCCACAAAGTGTAGTTCAGCCCGGGACTTGAAGCTGCTTTGTGCGGATGATGAGCAGACCAGGACCTGCTGGATCACAGCCATGCGCTTGTTAAAGGTTGGCTTGCCGATCACTAACTCTGGGTGATGTCTAAGGAAGGAATGCTGAGTCAGTGCTAGAATCAGATTTAGCTTTGGGAGGAGGTCAAGAGAAACTATTGAGTGATGCTGGATTAGCACTCCTACTCTTTATAGCAACAGCATATGTTCATTGTCTGGATATCTGCTGGATACAGTTGAGAGCATTAGTCACTCTCCTGCTAGTCCATAAATAATATACAGTACAGCACAACAGACTGTGTTTTATTTGTATCTTCCCCTTCTCATCACTACACTACAGGTCTTCTGAAAGTATTTAAAAGTGAAGTGGGATTTGAATTTAAAAAAGGGTTTTTGTTTTTCAGTATGGGATGCAGCTGTACCAAAACTTCATTCAGCCACATCAGAAGCAAAAGGCTTCACCAATGGTAAGCTGATTCTGTAGAGCTGAATCTTATTCTTATGACGTGTAACTCACTTTAAAGGGCCTTAAATGGTTCCCACATTAAAATGTACCTTTTAAGTTTATATTAACAGTACATTAAAATACTATATGAACAAGGTAACCTTTGTAACTAACCCACAGCAAATTAACATCAATTCTGCACTTTGCCTTTGTGGGGCCTCTTTTTTTTAGGTCATTGTTTTGGTTTTTCAGCCCACAAACTCTCTGTTCTCGTCAACCTTGTTTCCAGCCACAGTAGGCAGCTTTTTTTTCTGCCAAGAAGCTCTGATAAACCCACTTTCTAATATCTGCCAAGCACCAAACAACATACTGATGATGTTAGCAATTAGCTGGGGAACATGGTAGAACATTTAGCAGCTAAAAGACGGATAATTTACTTAGGAGTTGGTGGTGTCAAGACCAAAGGGAAGTAAATATTGGATTTCCATTAATCATGTGACCAGAAATCTCCAAAAGTCCAAATGACTGCTCATGTTGCTCTGTGCATGTCGGATGTATAGGTAAATGTTTGCTATCAAGTTTGCTATAGCAATTTAATAAATTATCATGTCAATGTTGTGTTTCTTGCACTGGCCCCGGGGACCAAAACAACATTTCCATGTGTTTAAAATATGTTGGAGCTAACACATAGCAGTGTGGTAATCTAATTGCATAGGACAAATGAGGCACCTTCAGTGTGTTAATGTAGGTTTGGTGTCCCAGAATAGCCTCAGACTCTACTGGGAGTATATTCGTGTCAGTGAACACAATCTATTTATGGCTTTTGGACATGGTTATGAACCCTCTGCTTTCTAAAAATACACAGTGATCAGCTGCTCTCAGATTTAACAACTCATCACCTCTTCTCTGCTGTCGGAGGGTCATATGTGACCGACAGCCTTGCCAAGAGGATTAGCTAGAAAGATAGAGGAGTACACGAATCTGCCAAATCCAGGGTCGGTCTGCTGAATCTTCTATGGTTTACTCGGCTGATTTAGTTACAAATACAACCTCGATAAAACTGCTTCATAGGATCTCTGAAAAGTGAATAACAGCTGTATTTGGATACAATATTAAGTCAAATATTTCTAAGAAATTATGGGTATCTTTTAAGTCATTGGAATTTGGGCAGAATGGCTAAGACAGACGGTATTGCCTCTGTCCTCAAAGTAAACACTGCTTACTTTGTTTTCACCACTCGTTTAAATTGTAAGCTTAGTAGGTGGTATAGGAACGAATGTGGTAATTTAAAAGCTTCTTGGTAATCCTGATAAGAAGAATTTTCTTGAGTGTGTGCAGTGAGCCACTCACTATATGGCAGCTTAGAGGACTAAAATGTGCCCATGTGTCATTCTTTTTCAAAGCCACTCTAATCCCTTTTCAATGGAGTTTTCTGTCTGGAATCATCTAGAAATGATGAAGATGGAGTCACATTACTCAGACACTAGATGGCAATACAATACCATAAGACACCAAAAGTCAGTCTACCTCCTTTTCACACTATACAAAGGAAATCAAACCAAGAAAGGAAAACCTTTTGGGTATTTTGTACCATACATATTTTACTACAGTAGTTTTTAGAAAATAAGTAAGTAAAACATAAACTCATACAGCCAATACAAAAATAACATTTAAATGTATGTGTGCAATTTCAGAGAAGCATCTCAGAGAATTCACTGGTGGCCATGGACTTCTCTGGCCAAAAGAGCCGAGTGATTGAAAACCCGTCTGAGGCGCTGTCTGTGGCTGTAGAGGAAGGCCTGTCATGGAGAGTAAGTAACATTCATAAAACTTTCTCTACCTGAGAAACAGCAATAAGAGACATTTCCCAACATTATTAACAAGAAAAAAACAGAGGTTAGTAAGCAATAATGCTTTATTTGTTATCCTGTTATTTTGCCTATTGAAATGTACTCTTTAAAATTTGGTGGAGAAAATCTCTAAAATAAATGGTGCTAAAAAGAAAGGGTGTGAAAGAAGAAACACATTTTTACAATGTAACGTGTTCTTAAAATTTACAACCTTATTATATCTTTTAATGTCCAGTGTAACAAGAATTATTAAGAGTTAACATAATATTTTTGAATGAGTATTATACAAAGTGGCATAACACCACAAAATACAGCTAATAACTGTTGTAAACACCTCATTAATAATTACCTTTTTAGAATGCAAAGAGAATGAAATATGTATCAACATTACTTCAACTGTCATTGTGGCTGTTCTCTCGCAGAGGAAAAGCTGCCATCGTCTGAGTGGCCACGGGAGTCCTTCCACATCACAGAGCTCAGTGTCAAACATAGGTTTGTGGAACACTTTTTCTTATTTTGATGTTTTTGTTTTTGAAATAAATAATTCGTAATATAATGTCTCTCTTTGTGCTTCAGCCCTCCACTTGACTCAGTCTTGGTTCCACGGCAAACTGTCTCGGGATGAAGCTCAGCGTCTCATCACTCAGCAGGGTCTTATCGATGGGTAAGCAGTTAAACTCCTTCCTCTTTAATTGTTTACATTGTGTCATTAAAGACATTAGGTGTATTGGTGGTAGGTGGACCACATGATCCTCAACAGTGAGGCTCTTCCATAGGACATGCATGGTAGTGTGGTTAATAAAAGGTAATATGCCTGTTAAATACATTTAATGCGCAATTTTTGAAATCTTTGCATAAGAGAAATCACGTGTGTTTGACAAATACGTTTTCAATAATTGTGGAGTGTGACATAAGTCTAAATGAATATTCTCAATCAATTGAACTTTATTTATAGCTTTTTAGCACCTTTCAAACAAATGCAATGCAATTCAAAGTGTTTTTACCATCAACTGACAAACGGATTGTTAAAAAAGGATCAATAAATGCCAAAACAACATATCAAAAATAAGTTGTTAATTAAACTAGTGGTCCATAACAGTTTTGCATGATGTGTTAGATTAATTGTTATCTATATTTTAGGAAATCTAATAATATAGTAAAAGTGAGGACTCGTTTTTGTTTCCAGAGTATTTCTTCTGAGGGATAGCCAAAGCAACCCTAAGACATTTGTGCTGTCACTGTGCCACATGCAGAAAATCAAACACTTTCAGATCTTACCTGTAAGTACGATCCACTTTTGTTTGGATGTACAGTTTTTCATTCACATTCCAAAAACTAATTCTGGATTTGACCATCACATTCAGTAAGTCACCTATCGTGTGTGTGTGTGATTTATTTTCTGTGTTTGTGTGCGTACTCCACTGCAGATGGATGATGAAGGGGAGGTATTCTACAGTCTTGATGATGGTCACACACGGTTCACTGACTTGATCCAGTTGGTGGAGTTTTACCAGCTAAACCGTGGCGTGTTGCCCTGCAAGCTCAAACACCACTGTGCCCGGATCACCCTGTGAACAAGAGACCCAGGAGAACCCCCGAGGGCCCACATGCACCTTAACTTCGGGGCCTTTCTGGACAAACACTCCATGTGTTATTGTGCCTTGAAGAAGAAAGATATACAGACTAACTGAACAGCCATGCTAACTGAAACCACTGTTATCATCCATTATCGTCCTTACTTTTTCCTTTTTGAGAAATATTTGAATTTGACAATAGACTGTATAATAACTGACTACATGTGCTGAAGATGGTGTGCAGTTTTGTCTGGTGAACCTTATTCTTTGGCCCTTTAACGTGCCCATATGTGGCGGTAAATCCGTTGTGTCCAAACCTGACTACCGGTACTTGTACTGTATATTGTAGAGCTGAATGTGTATTGCAAACAGCTTGTGATTCTAACATTTTGACACCAATGAAAGTTTTTTTCTTTTTTCTTGGTAAATGAAATACAGTAGCTGGAATTTGAGTTTTTACTGAAACTGCAGTATGTATACAGTAACTATATATTACCAGGTCTGTCAAAGCTGATGATGGTTGAATCCCAACAAGGGCATCAATTTCTTATTTGAAACCATGTCATGCTGTAGTACACAACACCTCTGTCCTGTTAAATTTGAGTAAAACTAAGCTATCTTACTTTTCATTGTCATTGTATCTCTAAGTATTCAGGTGGTTTTTTTTTTCTTGTTTTTTTTTAAAGAAAATGATCATTGTTTTCTATTTGAGAGATAAAATGACCTCTCAGGAAGTGTCACTGTGCATGCCCTGTAAGCTGGACTGAGACTGCTGTAGAGAGAAAGAGAGAGGTGTAATGTACAGGTGGAGAGAAATGGCACACAACCTCACTAGCCTGCACTGTGCATTCATTTTAAATGTATGTGATTCAATGAAATGTTTGTATAACATGAAATTAGTTGTGCGCTCACTCTAGAGCAAGAGCAGCAAAATATATTTCACAATTTTTTAGATATAAGCCATTGAAATGGAAATCAGAAATACTGTGTGACTGATTTTAATCATATCTGAATTCAATGTATATGGAAATTTAGGTTTTATATTTTTCAAAGATTCAGGTATACAGTTTGCAAAACCCTGGGTTGGTTGTGGTTTGCTGTTATTGCCACTGCTGTGGAAATACAGTGTCTGTTTTCAAAAAGCCAATAATGGATCAGCTTTTAAAACCAAGGTATTTTAAATCGGTGACATGATCAAAATGACCATCTTCTAACTTCTGTTAGTAGTTTCATTATTGTTTTTGTTTTTCAGCTGGACAACAGTGCATTGAACAATGAATGTCATGGACTGCATTTTTTTAAATATATATATATATATATATATATATATATAACAAAGTCTGTTTGTAATGTGTGACTTTGTATGAATTATTGTCACATATAACAATAAGATTCAAGGTGCACACACTGTTAGTTAGACCTACATTTTCAGTCGGTTTCAGCAATGTTTAAAAACTGCCGGCAATGTATTATTCATGTTTGCTGTAGTTTGGTACGCAGCACAGTAAACTCTTAACTGAGATGCCCAGATGAGATCTGGGACAGTGTGAAGCAATCGATCACTAGGCTGATAAACTCAGCCTTTTTTAAAAATATAATGCAGTATACATTATAGTCTTTGTATGGTAAATAGGGCATACAGGGTTATGATACAAATGCAATTACAGACACTAAATCTCACTTTAAATTGAAACGTCCACCTGAGCCATCTCATCAGTACACAGTGGGGTGCTTCTCTGCTCAGAAAGATTTTTATAGTGAATACATAAGTCAGAATTGTCTAATGAGATCCAGCACATAGTTAAATTTAGTCACACTATATAGCCTGTGAATGGAACACATTAGCTTAACATTGTCAAGTATGATTTAGTGAATTCTGTGTGCAGTCTATGTATACATATACAAAGTATGATTTCTCCACAGTGCCGTCACATAAATATTTTTTATAACCACTAGATGGTACTAGAAGCATTTTGCTTTTGCTTGACCAAGTTTATGTTTGAAATCATAATGTGTCCAGTGCGATTTAAATTACATAATACACATAAAAAGTGTCAAAGATGGAAGAACTTTAAAGAAGTTAACTTACTTTAAAAGTTGTGCAACTAAGACTTCCCTGGTATTGAGCATCTGACATTTTATGTGCAAAGAATTACCTAAAAAACACACACACACACATATATATATATATATATATATATATATATATATACATGAGCGCGTGTATTTACACTGACAACAGCAACGGTGCCTGTGTGCCAGCTCTTACACTGTAAGTAAGTCATTTAATATTTCAGGTGCAAGTAATGAATTTAAAGTAATCGCATTTTAATGTACAACTGACTTTCAAGGATCCATTGAATATGAAAAAAATTGTAATGGACATCATTTTGGTTCCCTACATAACAGTGAACGGCAAGGTGTCTTGTCTTGAAGCATTCGTGTTAAACAATCTTCTCTGTTGTGATACAAACACATTGCCCCTATACCTCCCCTGCTCTACTTCAATAGCACATTTTGAAACAGTGCTCACATCCAGGGGAGATGTGCGCACACAGAGAAGTCTTAAATGCACCCCTGCTTCCGAGGTCTTGTGCTAAATGTTGTTTTGGATGTATTCCTGCCATTGATCGGAGTCTGGCTGCAGGGGGAGAGATGGCAGCTGGGAGAGACTGCGCTTCCTTTAATGAATTCATCCAGCTCTATCCTGCCCAAACGGCCTGTGGATACAGCATTTCTCCCAGTAAATAAAGCCTCTCTCCGCTCTGTCTTGGGCCCTCATGGACAACCACCAGTGTTTGTAGCACTTCTCACCACTACATTGGATTTACTCCTGCCTGCACTTTCACTCTTATGACTTCAGGTTTTGCACTTGAGAGTTTGAACTTCACTCTGTTCTTAAATGCCCCTCTTGTTGTATTCCCCTTGTCTGTATTCAGTTTACTGGCTTTGGCCAATTACTGATTATCTCCAATGAAGTGAAGACCTTGCTGTTTGCTCTGCTCTTGATCCACAAAAGGGCATTATCTGGGCTTGGGTATGAATCTAGGCAGTCTATGAGGAAATGAGGCTAGGTTTGTTTAGGGGATGCACCATAGTGAAGGTTAGAGGCTTTAACTATTCCTTTGCAAAGGGCTTTCCCATCTGGACTATCTAAAGCCAGAAGCAAATCCAACAGCTATTTACAGTAGCTGCAGTGGCCACAGTGGACTGGAGCAAAGATAATCATAGGTCGATAAGAACTAAATATTAAATAAGTGAAAGATTTTCATGTTTTCCGTTTTTCACACGTAATACAGATCAAGGGTGAAATTAAATAAGACATCAAACAGTGTTGGACTAATTATTTTACCTTGTCAAATCATACATAAACTGTAGACTGTGTGTGTGTGTGTGTGTGTGTGTGTGTGTGCTACATTGCACAGTTGTAGTGGTGCTTTTACTGTATTGTCATTTTGCAGTAATAAACATTCAGTTTTCACAGACAGTGGCCAATAACAATCATCTTAATAGAATATAGATCAGAAGCCGCAGGTAGGATGCTCATACATTTGTATTTTTGTTCTGTTTGTAACGTGAAGGTATTATGGGTATTGGCTACAATCCAAAACTCCCCAAATATGTTAAATGCCATACAGTGTATCCTCTATTTACTGTTTTACTTGACAAATCTAGGCTTTTATGATAAATACATTTTAAAAATCTAACAATTGTACATTGTTTAATATTCAAGCGCTTTCTCTAATTTTGACACTGCAGCAGCAAGGTTTTTAAGGGTTGGCAGTCATATGCAGTTAAAAATACTTCTGTGCTCTATAGACGAGTGTTGTTTTATGCAGATAATACTTTGGGGTTTTAAAAACAGCAGTCATAAAGATACATTTATTGTTAACCAAATTTAAAGCTTCATAGGTTTTTATACACAGCATCGAGACCGTGGCTGTGCAGTTGGTGTAAAAGGGAATTTTCTTTGTGTATTGAGCATCTTTGGTAATGTATTATGTCTCAGATAATTGCCCAGACAGTGCTTGCTCTATAAATCGCCTTTCTAACCTCTGATATATTTTTCTGGGGGTCTTGGAACTGGCAAACGGTAAGTGCCAAGCTTTGTTAATTACAAGGATAACACATGCACTCGTCAAATAATGGATGTGGTTTGCAATTTCAAGTTTTAATAATCAATTACTGGCAGTAATTCTCTATGGAGTCACAGGATAGTCATTAAATCTCAAAAGGCGAGACACATGCAATGTAGCTTTTTCCAAAGCCCTATTTTTAAATACATAAGGGAACAGGGTCTGCTTTAATCCGGTGCATTTTGTTGCCTTATTACAATGTAAAGTAGCTCAATTAGACCTAGACAGTGCAGCTTGTAAAATAACTGTTCAAGACAGTGAGTGATGAATGGTCATATTAATGCTTATTCCTATAGGAACTGAGCCAACAAGGACAAGACTAAAACTACAGTAATACTGCAGATCAGCTTGTTTTTTCTTTGATATGAGTTACTGCTCTTATTATGTTAAAGACAAAAGTTTCATTTAACACCAAGTCCTGTATAAACTCACATTAAGCAGACATATCTGTCTTTTGTTGTTGTTAACCGGCCTCTTTGATCTTAGCAAACAGGTAGATGTAGCAGTTATATTGAATCAGTGTTCTTTTTTCCTCTATACAGCGGGGTTCCTGTTATTGTATTTTCAGTCCACCTTCAAAGCTGAAACATTGCAGAGGTTTTTCTTGACCTTGAGAAATTAACATGGGAGGACTGGCTTTGCTCTGAGGGAGCCCTATAGAGGCCACGTCCCCTCCTAATCCCCAGTTGAAAGGCATACCTCTACTTCTCAAACCAAACAGTAACATCCCAGCTAGCCAAGTGTTTACATGACGATATCCTGACATATACCAAGCCATAAATGATTTCCTTTCATTCAGATTATTTAATTTGGAAATGTTCTCTTTGTGTGACAGATATAGGCTGTGATGGTGAGGAGTGTTTGTGTGTATAATGTGTGTGTATGTGAGACAGAGAGAGTAAGGGGGGATTTGGCCCTGCACAGATGAACAAACAGTGAATCTGAAGTGCAGCGCCCTGTGTGGTGGCCCACCAACTGAACAACATTAAGGCAGTCCTCCATGTAAAACCTGCTCACTTCTCCCACAAACACTTGAGTTTGGCAAACGGGCAGCGGCTCAGCGGGGAGGAGCTCTCCCTGGAAGGCAGACAGTGGACAGCAGGGAGACATAAACCACAGCTTCTGGTGGTGATGGACTGATGTTTTAGGTGATCAAAAGGATGGATAAGAAAAGGAAAACGACAGGGGTAAAACCAGGAGGGGGTCGGAGAGAAAAACATTTTTGACTTTAAAGGTAGAAAGACATGAAAAGCAAAGTAAAGCTGAGATGTTTGACAGTGCAGCACTTGGGGTGAATATTATTGTGCACTGTAAAAGTAGACCCAAACTCTCAGACTCGCTATCCTGTGTTTGCTATCATTCATACCATAACATGTAGTTGGGAAAAAGTACTTCAAAACAACATGATATATATCATGGGGCAATTTACTTCAAGGTTACAGAGCAGAACTTAGGATGATATATTGTCCTTGCATTTTTCTGCAAAATAGGTCAAAATGTTCACAGTGGCACACACAGACACACGTGCGCATGTGCACGAGCACATTTACACACGTATTGGATCAATTTACATTCCTGCCTACTTTTTTCTCTCATTTACATGGTGTGCGAGTGACTCCTGAACAGAGTAGGAAGCCTTGTGGAAGAATTAGGAAATGGTCCATTTCTGAGAACACAGTGGAATAGAAGCAGAGCAGCATATGTTGGGATTTGAATGGTCAATCGATGAATAACCCAGAGCGGTGTTTTTTCGGTGCAGATTGGCAGGCATTGTGTAGTGGTATCTGTGTGTATGTGTGTGTGTTTGTGTGTGTTTAAGAGAGAGGGAGAGCGAGAGATGGGGGCACGGAGGAGTGGGGATTCATCCTTCCCCAAAGTATTACGCAGTGGTCAAAAATATTTGCAATGCCAGAAGGTATTTTGAAAAATATTTGAAAAAATTCAATACCATGCTGACCTTTGCTGGGCATTTGTGAACAGATTCACTCTTCGTCTAATCTGGCTCAGAGTCAGGGAGGATCTGTGTTACTGTATCATGCAGTCAATTCTAAATTATGTTAATCTATT